AACATTTTGGGCCACAAATGGGCTGAACTCCCTGCTATAATGTCCACTTTTGCCGTATCGGGCCTCATTCATGAGCTCATATTCTTCTATTTAGGCCGCGCGAAACCCACTTGGGAAGTCACCTGGTTTTTCTTGCTTCATGGCGCGTGTTTAACGGCCGAGATTGCGGTCAAAAAGTCAAATAATAAGAGGGTGAGGATCCACGTACCCAAGATTATAGCGAGGATCTCCACCGTTGCATTTATGATGATCACGGGCATTTGGCTCTTTTTTCCACCACTGTCGCGGTGTAAAGCTTTTGAAAGAGGGATCGCAGAGTACGTGGCTGTCGGGGCATTTGTGAAGGATGTTTTTAGGGTGGCAAGCGCGTGCGTTGCACGTTAATTTATCTTATAATTTTTTTTCTTTTTTGGATGTTCTTGAAATTTTTAAAAATTAATAATTATATTGGCAGTTGCAATTAAAATAAACAATGTGCTGCTTGATAACGTGCTATAATGTATTGTTTGGTTGGTGTTGCAATGAATAATGTTAAAGGGAAAATTGTAGCGGAAGTCCCAAACCTTTCATTTTATTGCAGAATATACCTTAACCTTCTATTTTCGCAACTGTAGTCTCAAACCTTTTTACTTCAATAGCAGCCGGAGTCCATTGGATGGATTCCATCCAGAATCCCGTTAGTCAACACTGAAATTGAAATTTTGACTCAAATTGAAAGACTATATGAGGGAAATGATCAATTTATAATGAAAAAATGAACTCTGTCTTCTCCAAATCACCCCACCCCCACTTCCAACTCCAAAATAAAAGACTAGAACTCAGTGCATTCTTACCGCAAACACCAACCATTGTTGTCACATCAACACTGTCCTACCAATGCCATCAATCAAATAATTTTGCTTTTCTTACTCATTATCTAGCAGCAACCTCAATAAGCTTCAAATCTAATTGGGGAAGCAGATCCATTTACACTTTATCGAACAACAACGCCAAAAATGAAAAATTTGGAAAAAAATAATCAAAACTAATAGGTAAAATTGCTTTGTATGCTCCGCATTTCTCACTACATTCTTGGATAGTGCTTTGGGGATTCAAAATGTTCTCAAGAATCAGGCGTTGGCAAATAGGCTTGATCCTAGTGGAGTGTGATATATTTGGGTGGCGAAGCTGTTGATAGGGAAATAAGTGGCAAGTGGGTTTTGGATTGGTCGGCAAACTGTAATAACAGTTGCCTCCGGCTTTCTTCAACGCTACCGCAGTGGTTACTCGGTCGACTATCGCCTGGAGCTGAAGCACCGCTTTTCGGGAGCCATGGATGATGCACTCGGTGCAGTTAAATGGCTACAAACACTGGCTCTATCGAATAGTGCTAATCCATGGTTATCAGATATGGTTGATTTTGATCGGGTTTCATGGTAAGGGTAGAGAAGGGTGGGGTTTGGAGAAGATGAATTTTTTTTATTTAATTATTTAATTATATAAATATAAATTGATAATTTTACCCTTCATTTAATCTGTCAATTTGAGTCAGATTCCAATTTCAGTGTTGACTAACGGGATTCTAGATGTAATCCATCCAATGGACTCCAGCTACCTTTAAAGTAAAAGGCTTGGGATTGCGACCGCAAAAATAAAAGGTTAAGATATATTCTACAACAAAATAAAAGGTTTGGGACCTCCGCTGCAATTTTTCCTAATGTTAATTGTTTCATTTACATTCATATAAATAGCTGGAATTAATTATA